ATTACATCATTATGAGATAAAAGCTTAGTTGATGAGCCAAGCAGTGGCAGGCTATGATCTGTAGCACGCTCCTAGAAACCAGTAAGTGCCGTCAGAATTTCAAAAGCCTCGGGGTATACACTAAATTGGAATGAAGTGATGTTAAACTGTCATTTAAAGTGATGAGGGAGTCACCAACTATGATTGATGATAATTCGCTTAAAAACGTTCTACACTAATAGAATAGGAAAGTTCAGATTAAAGTTTGATGGGTAAAAGGTCTGTGATACGAATACACTACCACTGAAGATGATGCTCCTTTCGAATCTGAGTTATTTCTTAATGCTTAAACTCGAGACGATTTACAATATTTAAAGAAGTATCAAATAAAACGAGAAAAAAAATTAATATTTGGTTTTTTTTTCTGGGGGGTTGGGGGAGGCGTACTAGGGTGTCAAAGGTGCCAGTCTGTTTCCACTGAACTGGGAGTCTGCACGCAGATGGAACTTTTAACTACATGTAAGTTTTGGGTTTAACTGCAAAATTCAACAGCGCATCCTACCTTAATATTCATGCTTACCTTTGACAATGTGGAACTACCGAACTGGTTATACAAAACCAGTCTTGCATTGTTACTTACAGACCTCACAAGCCACTACGATCCTTAGTTTAGCAATGTGCACCGCGCGAACCAATCGCTGACCAATGATTTACCGACTCAGTGACGCCGAGAGGACACCTCTTCACGGCACTTGGAGGTAGGCCTTGCGTCGCTTCACTCAGAAAAGTCATCGATCGTTCATCGCCTTGGCAAGGTCTCATACAGCGTGGACTGGAGCCGGAATCCGATCCGTCTTTTTGATGCAAGTTGTCCCTTAGATTGGGTCTAATTACACGCCCAGTAGTGATATATATATTTGCACTATGAATTATGAGATGGGGCACACTAGTTCATTTTGGGTCGAGAGGCCCACGGAAACTCGTTAACTCAATCTTGTCCTCATGGGTGTCAAGGTGTGCGCCCCCACGGTTACCTCATGCTCGAAACCGGGAATCAGATTATTATTTGCATATCAAAAATATTGGATACAACATGTTAATGGGGAAGTCTAGTGCCTGACCGTGCTTTCAAGTAGTTTTTGTTTTAGCATGCGGTGTCTGGGAACGGATTTTTTTTCCACGATAAAAAACATTAATCTCATCCAATCAATATTCAGTATCACTGGTTTGACATTTATAATCAAACGGAAAAGTGGGGATTGTTGAAAAGGGAAAGTGAATGGTAATAATTTACAACAAACGTGAAAACACGTAACACAAGTTGAAATTATAAACACCAAATAAACAGATTACTGTTTCCTGGCTGGTGCTGCATAGAATCGGAATGCAGAAAGAAAGTTTACTTTCCAGAGGTTACTATTGGAAGCCACGCTGGAAATACAGTTCCTGCTGGGAACGAGGTTGTCGCCAAGAATCGGTTAACGACAATGGAGGGGCGTGAGGGCTAATTTGTGGCTTGTGTTGCAATATCCAAACTGACTTCCCTATAGTTTCTGCTTTTAACGACAAAATCCATATTCACCAATAGAAATGTTTACTACAAAGATAAATCGATTAGACCTCAATGCAAATCACCTGCACAAAATAATTTCATTAAAAAATACATAAATTCAAACAGGATCTGATATTTCCATCCGATTAAACTTTTCTCTATACTCTTAACAGAAAACGTTTGTATTTTGGGATGGAAGTGGATTCTTTGTGAGAGAAGTGAAGATACCATGGCAACGGATACAGATGTTTCCTGTGACATATTAATAACAGATGTCACAACAACACTTTAATGAAAGCGCCATCTCACGACGTGTCAATGGAAGCACACGTTTGTGTCTGAAATCACGCTTCACTTTCTTCCCCCTGGGAGGGAGTATGTTAGTGGAAGATATGAAATTGATTGAAAAGGCTCCCCCCCCCCCGTGTTCCGGATTGAGAAGTGTACTGGAATAACCTCAAGACAGTCTCGTCTAGGAGCTAAGAAGCTTCTCACATCTCAGGGATGCTGGCAGCGTCTTGTGATTGGCCAGATGGCGGTGTTTGCTTTCCTGTAAATACACCAATCAAACACTTAAGATTCAGAAATCACAAAGACATGTGAGACTTAAACACATCCAGCCTCGGGAGGCGGGGCATAGATCTATCTCATAGTTTGCTGTACGCTGGGTAATCGTCTGTGGTCTATATAAATAAGTGTTGCTTGCATTACCTTTCGGTTTTAACGTTTTATCACGCACCTTTACACCAGCAAGGATTTCGCCGTTTCACACAAGCACAAAATAATGGAATTAACACGAAATACTATAAAGCTGTGAGTTTTAAAGGTCTACCCTGAGGCAGCGGAACTCGCTCCTTTGTGGACTATACAAGGAATGCAAACTTGACGTCATGGACCAACTTCATCACTGTGCATGACGGTACTTTGCCGAGTAGACTATGGGCAAAATTCGTATTTATGAGCAATCGTGCCTCCCGTTCAATGTCAGGCCTGGTTAAAGTTTTTGTGAAATCGAAAAAATTCAATCTAGGGGAGAGTCTTTACAATTGTCAACTTCATTTCAAATGAAGCAAAGTTAAAGGTTGAATTACCTATGCATTCCTAGCTTGCCCAAGCTTGACATAATTTATACGCTATTAGCGAGGAATGAAATTTCACTCCTCCTGCAAATATTCTTATTTACTTACTGTAAGGAAGTGAAAACATAATTAAATAAAAGTTGGCTCCTGTGCTTATTCCCCTCTCGTTCCATTCTCAGAGCGCTACATCTCAGGCTCCAGTGATTTATATATTTGATTGCCAGATAATTTCCTGCGCTCTAACGCTAGCGATTTGGACCTTTCTGACCAAATTAACGAAGACAGATGGAGGGAGTGAGGTCACTTTGTCTAGTGTGACCGGGCAGTAGGTACTTGGCCTTTGCTACATTAAAATAAAGCTGTAAATTTCTGGTGCGAAAAAGTTCATTATTCGTGTAGAACTCTAGCATTAGCTATATATTTCAAAATATATGACCGGAGTTAAATCAGTAAATCTTGGAGGGGAGACTCACGCTTGTCATGCATGCAAGTATAAGTACAACATTGCAACGGGTAAATTCAGTTGTCTTCATAACAACAGACCAATGGTGGGTATGGCTCCTATAGCAAAGTGTATTTCATGCGCTAACCAAGCTGGTTTTTGGTACAGTACTCAGCCCATCAGCAGCCTGAATACTGTACCCACTGTATAAGCTTTGTGTTGGTAAATGACTCTTAATGAACTTGAAGCACTTTCGTGGAGGGACCCAAAGTTTGCTGATATCCACTAAAGATCAAGTAACTTAGCTGGCACAGTCAGTCTATTCCATCTGTTGAAAAAGGACGTAAGATTTTATCGTCGATTGATAAAGAGCACTCTTTCAGTAATATATTCAAGGTCCAAAGATTGTGAACACTCTAGGAATGTAGGACTTCTAGACAACTCAGTATGGCTATAACTCGCGGAATCTATACAGAAATACAAATCATGTGGGTTATTTTGTCTGCTGAAATTAACGTGTGCGGCAGGATCTAGGTGCTAAAGAAACAGCACCACAGATGCAGTTTTAAATGGAGCCTGTAAATAACTGTCGTTTTGTAACTGACGGGCACTGTAGGCCTATGGGAGCGAAATACTTGACGGCAGAACATACAGTACAAGGCCATTCTGAGATGAAAAATGCACTTTGTAGAGTGTTTATATCAGCCCTCCGAGAAGTGTGAAGGAATGTGACATGAATTTTCAAACCATCAGATCTCCAGGAAGAGAACTCTTTATAAATGTACGAGCAAAAAAAAACTGGACAATTACGAAAACCTGGACAAATTCGACACAGGGTTCGGTTGAACTGCACTTTGTACATGTACATCGCATCCAGAATCTATGATCCCTTTTTTAAAAAAACAAAGATTACCAGGAAATGCTAACTGATGTAGCACAATGTAAATTATGCCTCATCAAATTTGATGACGTCTGTATTGGCAGAAAGGATTCTTAGAATACGGTGCATTAATTAGTTACGGAAGCCGAATAATGCCAGGCGGGGGGATGGGAATATTTTTAAACTGCATCGAATATTTTGGTATTGTTTTCCAGCGGCCCCCACACATTTCTACCACATAACGGCTACTACACGTATTTATTGACAACTGCCACTTACTAATTAAGCAGAACCAATTATGATGGAAGTATTGCCACAAGCGTAGAAGTTCCGTAATCTTCTATGCATGCTTTGATTGAAATTTCCGGTGTCAGGCCTAATAACGGCATTATAATCTTTCGATGACCTTAAAAGCCATCCCATTTACCGCAATTTGAAACCGTCTTAATCTGTTAACATCAAAAGTTGGATGAATTCATCGTAGGTCAAATCGTGAGGTTTTCTGGTGGAAATTATCACGATGAGCAATGGTTACTCTTTGGGGGGTGCACCATGTTGGAATTTAGCCACAATTTGGAATATATTTTAATATCTTCATCCTGAAAAGCAATGTTAAACATCCCTACATCTTAATACGCGTTCGTATGTCTTGTTTGCCGGGGGAATCCAGGCATCTCTGTCTGCAGATCTATTTCGAATCCACAACCATGAACTATGCTGACTCGGCTTGAGGAAGAATTTTAGAAGGATCTGAGAACAAAAGTTTTCATCTTGAAAGCTTTGAAATTCTGACCTGGGTTGAGACAGTAGAATCTGAGTTGGAACCTTGGCTTTCAAATACATGCCTAAAGAAAGGTATCTTGCTTAGGAACACGATGCTTCCCACAATGCTTGGATTTTTACCCTTGAAGACTGTGCAACCTCAGCCTATACATTCCTCTGAAAAACCACATACAGGAAGAAAAAAATGCCTAAACTTCACGTATACCATTGTTACTGGAAGTTCGACTGAAATATCAAGAGAAAGGTTATTTATGTGATAAGTTGTCTTTTTTTGTTCATTGCCAGGGTTCAATTCCGATGGCGCGTTTTGAGGTTATGCTGCTATTGATGTCGGTCCTGGTCGCCGTCACGGTGCTGCAGTGTCGTGCTGACGAAGAAAACACCGCAGACGAGGATCAAGTCAAACAGGTTCTCCAAGAGATCTACGATGAACCTGACGAGGATAAACGAGCCAATCGCTACAGAACCCTCAACAGGAGGCCGGGCAATAGGAGGGTTATTAAGTCTGACCCAGCAATGCAAGAAGAAGAAGGAGAGGAGGCAAACGCAGAGGAAAAGCGTGGAAACAGGTTCCGCACCGTGGGCGGCCGACCAAGGAATAGGATGATGCGAGTTACCAAGTCCGATCCGGAAGTAGAGTCTGGAGAGAATCTTGAGGCAAATGACGAAGAGAAGAGGGCAAACAGGTTCCGTACATTGGGAGGTCGTCCTAGGAATAGGATGATGCGAGTTACCAAGTCC